CACACACACACACACACACACACACACACACACACACACACACACACGGAGAGTTCCCTAGGGATACAGAGGTGCCTCCGATCTAATCAAAAACAAAAACCAGAGGATTCTGGAACGACATCACAGACCCCTGAGAGTTGTGCCTTACTAATAACCCACAATGACATTTGCATATTACTTCACAATTTCCCAATCAGTGTAACTTCATTGGCTCCGCTCGCTCTCTGCCCTCACCCTGCCGCAGCCACAGACCCTCTGAGCTGGAAAAAGGATTTTGACACACCCCATGCCGGTGGTTTGCAAATCGTCTTGTGCAGAGCCAAGGAAGTGTTCCCTGTCATTATCTGGAGGCTGCTGGGGGCTGAGGAATTAGCCAATTAGAGTCCCCCACACCCACCCCAATTTCAACGACCCTGCAACCCCTCTGGCTATTTTGTACATTGAGGTTCTTTGGGGTTCATTTGAAAAGGGGATTTTCCTGCTGGACAGTGTGAAAACAACTCACTTACTCTCACCCCACCTTCCTCCACTCCCTGCCCTGACAGTATATATAGGATCCTGAGGCCAAGACAAAAAAACGTAGCCACCCACGGTCACTTAGGAGTCAGTGGTAGAACCAGAATGAAAACACCCTCTTCCTGAATCTAGGGTATACCTAGGAGTAGTTAAGCAAAAGAAAACCAGGGCTGCAGGGTCAGCAGATCCAGCTCCCAGGTCCGAGGCCATCCATCACCAGCCACGGTGGCATCGACAAGCGATGCAGGCAAAGCACACAGTCCAATGCAGAGGTGCTTAATGAACATGCATTTTAGCCCCTACTTCAAAATAAGCCAAAACCAGAGAGGACCCTCAGCACCACCCTGCTTCTTAAACCCACCAGAAATCTGTGGCCTAGACAAACCTTCATGCCTCCCAGCAGTAAAACATCTCCAAAAAGAGAGCTTGAGGGCCTGGAAGACCTATTTGTCCACCCCGAGCACAAGAGGGAGGTTTCACTTCAGGTGAAGAAGGAGACTTGGGCTGTGCCTGCGTAACACTCACCCCTCCTCCGTCCACACCAGCTCCCCCGGGGAGAGGACGTCGGTCAGGCACCTGCGAGGAGGAAACAGCGTTACGTTAGCTCCTCTGAAACCAACCAGAGTTCGTGGACCCAGCAAGGAGCTGGAAACTGAGAGGCTGGCGTTTAGCTCTCTGAGAAACCTTAGGGAAGTTGCTGAACCTGTTAAACAGAAAGGCCTGTGCGACTCCACAGCAGGGCAAAAGGGAAAGTAACACTTCTGAAGCTGAAGCGGACAGCAGGGGCCAGGGAGGGCCTGGGAGGCCAAGGTAAAGAGTTCAGTCTTAATTCTAAGAGCAACGGGAAATCATCGATTCGCAAGGTAGAGAACAGACTGGAAACGGGCAAGAGTAGCTCTCCACGTACGTATTAGGGGTTCCCAGGGCCCAGACTGGGGTAGTCACAGTAGAGCTAGAAAGAAGTGGATAGATTCAAGAGATCCTTAAGAGGTGGTCGCCAAAGGATTTGGTGGGGGACTGGATGGGAGGGGGAGGAGGGAGAGCAGGGGCCCGCCTACCCCTCAGGCACCTCCTTCCATGTCAGTCCTGGTGATCTCCAGCACCCGAAAAAAAACCATACCCATTGCTCTCTCAACCTGGCCTCTCCTTGCCTTGGTTTCCCCATCTGTAAAATAAGTACAGTTGGACTCAGTGGTCCCTACGTTCTATTTAGCATTAACATTCTGTTCTGGTCTAATTCGCTCACAGAAAAATTAAGGCTTAGGGGCAGGTCCAGCCTCGTACACAACGGGGCAGGAGTGTTGGAGGGAGAAACCTCAGGTCCCCTAGGCTCAGAACAGTAAATCTCCAGGGGAGACGAGACACCTCCACGTCACACAGATCACAAGAATCAGGTGAAGAGGAAGGTCACTTGGGCTGAGGCTGCGAGCCCCACGGCCTGCTCTCTGCCCCAGCTCTGGAGGCCACCACGGGCCTCAGGACACTGTCACTCCAGCTGTGACATCAGTCACCCAGCGGCTGACACCCTGCTTCCACATCCACTGTTTCCCAGCACCTGGGGTTGACCACGGGAGGCCAGTGAGCGAGCATGCCTAGGGAGACAGGCAGGACAGTGGATAGAAGTTCAGGCTCTGCAGTCACACAGACCTAGTAGGAATTCCAGCTCAACCTCTCTCTCTCTCTCTCTCTCTCTCTCTCTCTCTCTCATTCTGAGGCCTGAGGCAAGTCACTTCACCGCTCTTTCGCTTGGTTTCCTCATGTGGGAAAGAGGAGTGACAGTGTCTGCTCCCAGGTCTAACAGGAGGATTCAGTGAGATGTACGTGGAAAGCTCAGCATAGTGCCTTATCACCATGAAATAGCAGCCTCCACTTACACAGGTGGAAACCGAGACCCAGAAAGCGAAATGACTCACTGAAGACCCCTTCAGCAAACCAGCTGATGCAGGGGTGAGGCCCAGAGCCCGCATCTGGAACCATGAGGTCGGGTGTGCCCCATTTTGGTTCCGACTTCTTAGATGGGGAAGTTGAGACTAAGGTATTACAAGTGACTCGACCAAGGCCACAGAGAGAATTAACGGGAGAAGAGGGATTTGAACTCAGGCCTCCTTGATGAAAAACCCCCTGGTGTTCTCCGTGGATAGAGAAGCTTCAGATTTCAGGGCCCCATAAACCTGGAACAGGGACAAATGGAAATCTGGGAAGGGGGCACGGTGGGGGGTGGGGAAGCAGCAAAGCTACCTTAAGAGGAAACCAGAAGGAGCTGGTGAAACAAAAACCTCTTTCTCAAAAGCCCTCTCTGGGGACTGGGCAGGAGATGAGGGGGCTGACAAGCAGGGCCATCGTCTGGCCAGGGGCTGGGCTGAGGGTTGGATCTAAACAAACAGAAACGGATCCAGCTTGGCCACCGACTTGCTGTGTGATCCTAGGCAGGTCACACACATACACACACACTCAGTTCTCTGTTTCTTCAACTCAAGAATGAGATGGTTATTCTGAATGGTGTTGAGATTCCCCACTTATAAGAGACTAATAATAGGGCGCCTTGGTGGCTCAGTTGGTTAAGCGACTGCCTTTGGCTCAGGTCATGATCCTGGAGTCCCGGGATCGAGTTCCGCATCGGGATCCCTGCTCAGCGGGGATTCTGCTTCTCCCTCTGACCTTCTTCCCTCTCATGCTCTCTCTCTACCATTCTCTCTCTCTCAATAAGTAAATTTAAAAAAATCTTAAAAAAAAGAGACTAATAATAACCATTCCTCACAAGCTCTAGACTCCTGATCAGTCCCTGCTCCTACAACCCCAAAAGGTGGCCTCTTAATGTTACAATACGGTGGGGAAGTCCCGCCTTTGGGCTCTGGCCCTATAGCCAGGTCTTTGGCATCATCTGTAAAATGGGTACATATCTTTGCCTGATCACTTACAGAATGGGAAGATCCAAGGAGCTACCTCAAAGGCAAGAAATCCCCTGAGGCAACAAACAAAGCAACCTCACCCCAGTCCTCATCCCACATCCACAGTAAAGCTCTTTTAACTTTTCCTTTCCCTCTGGCCCATGTCCCCTTCAGACAAATAGAACAAGAGAATTCAAGCTGAGGGATGCAACAGCAGTAGCAACAACCCCCACAACCAGTAGTAGTTGCCAATATCTGACTCCTGACACACGCCAGGCCCTGTGCTAAATCCTGCACGTAATCCCCTCAATCAATGAGGAAATCCCACCGGTAATCTAAATTGATAGATGACAAAGATTCAGCCAAGTAAAGTGACTTGCCCAAGGTCACACACAGAGCAAGGGAGTGGTGTGGCCACCTAGACGCAGGCTTTTCATCTGACCTCGGGAGTCTTAATCTTATCCTTGAGGCTGGGGGGTTATCCAGGGTTAACATTCCACCACAGGGCATGGCTCAGATCTAGGCAGTGGGGGCGGGGGGGGGGGGGGGGTGTGAGGAATATCTGATCTCCAACCCCCACACACAGCTGCCCCAAATAACTAGTCTTTATAGTCTTTTTGTATTATTATTCAAATATGTCCAGCTCAACTCTCTGGCTAGAACAGCACTGTCCAATAGAAACATAATGCAAGCCATATATGTCATTTAAAATTTTCAGTAGCGGGGTGCCTAGATGGCTCAGTCGGTTAAGCGTCTGACTCTTGATTTTGGCTCAGGTCATGATCTCAGGGTTGTGGGATCGAGCCCCACAGTTGGCTCTGTGCTGGGTGTGGAGTCTGTGTGAGATTTTCTCTCTCCCTCCCCCTCTGCCCCTCCCTCCCCTTCTCTCTCCTTCCCTCTCAAAAAATAAAATAAAATTTTCAGTACCTGCATTTTAAAAAGTACAAAAGAATGGGTGAAATTAATTTTTTTAAAGATTGTATTTGTTTTATTTATTTGAGAGAGAGTGAGCATGCCTGCTCAGGCAAGTGTGAGATGGGGGGAGGGGAGGAAGAGGGACAAGCAGACTCTGCACTGAGCACAGAGTCGATGTAGGGCTCAATCTCACGACCTGAGCCGAAATCAAGAGTTGGATGCTCCACCGACTGAGCCACCCAGGCACCCCTGAAATTAATTTTAAAAGTATATTTATTTAGCCCAATATATCCATTTTAACATGTAATCCATATACAAGATATTAAGATAGTTTACATTCTTTTTTTTCATACTAAGTCTTCCAAATCTGTCATGCATCTTACATTTAGAGCGCCTCTCGATTCTGATGCTCGATTTTCAGAAGATATTTAGATCCCCTTAGCCCTTACCACCGAAAGTATATTCATGAATCTAATCATCTTATCTATGTAGAAGTTTTTTGATAACCAAATGGAGCATTCTTTTTAAATTTCAAATCAATTAAGATGAAAAATTCAGTTCCTCAGAGCACTAGCCATATTCCGAGTGCTCAGTAGCCACATGTGGCCAAGCGGCTGCAGTATGTACTGTAACCTCTAGAAGGTCAAGTCCTAGAGGGCAGGGCTGGTGGCCCCCATGGCCCACAGCCAGAGCTAGGCCTCCCAAAGTACAGTTGAGTCTGAAGAGAACGGTATCTTCTCATTCGGTGACCCCCTACCGAGCCTAGTATTTTTATCTACCCCCGGCACATACTACATTCACAGTGATGGTGACAAAGGCATTGGGCGTACCTATTGCTCAGAGAATGAGTATAGCTCAGAGGGGAGGGCCACCCACCAAGGTCACCCAGCTTTGACCCCAGTCCTGTCTGACTTGGAAGCCTGAGCTCTGTCCCTAAAGCTTGACAGGGGCCGGGTCTGGGGCTGTCTTCTAGAGAAAGAAATAAGCCCTTGCCACTGTTCTCACGAACCCCTCCTTCCCTAGTCTAGCACCAGAGAATAACCCAAGACAGGACACCCAGTGAAGAGGATGAAAGGGAAGGAGAGCAGGAGAAAGGCATTAGGTAGTGGTCCCGAGTACAGAGCTTGGGCCACTTGTGACACCATCCCCACTCACCGCCCCCCCCCCCCCCCCCCGACACACACATACACATGAGGCAGGAGGGAAACCCAGCAAGGTCCACGGCTGCCAGCCCTCCGGGTGGGTCCCTGGGGCCAGGAGCCCTTCCTGTCCTGCACCTCCCCCAGGAGCAGTCACTCGGAGGTGCTTGGACCAGGGCCAGAGCCATTACTCACCTCCCAGGGTCACCTCAGCTAGAGTCAAGGGAAAGGGTCCAAGAGGCAGCCTGCCCCCTGGAAAGAGGGGAGGAGCAGGCCCTGGAGGCAGATTCCAGAGCCCGGAAAAGGTGGCAGGTGGAGGCCAGAAAAGCCTAGTCAGCCCCGCCCCTCTCCTGGGGAGCAGAGCTCGCCCTCAGCCCCCACACCAGCCCCACAGCGTTAAACTCTCACCAGCTATTAGGTTTAACAATTAACTTTGGATTCTTTCCATTTCAGCAGGAGGCAGCCCCAGCAAAAAGTCCCATCTGCGGGTAGGGGGACTTGGAAGGCGGGGAGAAGAGGAAGGGGTAGGTGTGAAGGGAGAAAGGGATGACTAGTGAGCCCCCTCACTTCCCCCTTCCTGTCTTGTCTTACCAATGTGGGACAGCCTTCACACTAAGGCCTTAAGTTCCATAAG